CTAATAACAATGGAGATACTGTTCTTCACAAAGCAGCTGCTAATGCAGGATCACTTGATTTCATAAAGTACTTAATCAATCATCATCACTGTGATCCAATTGCTACTACCAATAGTGGTATCACTGTTCTTCACTGTGCTGCTGAATACATGGATATCGTAAAATATCTCATTGATGAGTGTCACTGTAATCCAATGGCTACTAACAATAGGGGTGAGACTGTTCTTCACCGTGCTGCTGGACATATTGATATTGTAAAGTATCTCATTAATGAGTGTCACTGTGATCCAATGGCTACTAAAAATAGTGGTGAGACTGTTCTTCACTGTGCTGCTGGACACATTGATATCGTAAAGTATCTTATTAATGAGTGTCACTGTGATCCAATGGTTACTGACTCTAACAACATCACAATTCTTCATAAAGCAGCTATAAACAACTCATCTGATGTAATCAAATATCTAATTGATGAGTGGCACCATGATCCAATGACTGTTGACAGGTGGGGGTGGACACCTCTTCACTTTGCTGCTCATTGGGGTAATTCTGCAGCTGTTGAATATTTATTATCAACTGGTAAATGTGATTTAATGTCAAAAGACAATTATGGAAACACACCTTTTAAACTAGCTAAGGAGAATGACAACACTGATACTCTTTCAGTCTTTAAGAAGTTTGGTGATATAAAATCATCTCATCCAATTGATTCTTATGTTAATGTTCTCCTTGTGGGTAATCCTGGAGCTGGTAAAAGTACTCTTAGTCATGTCATCAATGACACAGCTACTGGCCCTTTTGTTCTTGGTTCTTTCAGAAATGTTGGAGAGGTAGTGCCCTGTACTGCTGGTATCATTCCTTATAAACTACAACACAGGACACTATGTAACATCATTCTTCATGATTTTGCTGGTCATTCCGAATACTACTCAAGTCACAGTGCTGTCATTGAGAATCTCTTACAAGGTTCTGGTGGTGTGTTCCTCATAGTAGTCAATATATTGGAGAAGGAACCACTCAAACAGCTTCATCAGTGGCTAACAGTTGTCAGAAATGAAGCACAGAAAGCTCTTAATCAATGCCATGTTATTGTAATTGTCAGTCATGTGGATGAGATAAGTAATCCTGTTGAAAGGAGAAGGAGAAAGGAAGAAATACAGGAGATTATTGTA